CCTCTTGGCAGGGGGCGGGAGACGTCTGGGGTGGGCCCCGGACACACCGGTCCAGGCAGTTCAGTGGAAGCCAGTTTTAGTTTTGCTCCATAAAGCTTTGTAGCATGTTTGCTGTCTCATGATGGGCGGGTGTCCCTGCCCGGCCCCTGCTCCTTCTGCCCGTCCTCCCGCGTGGGAGCCGTGGGTGAGAAGTTCAGGGACCGCGGCCCCTCGCGTGTGTCTCTTCGCGCTCCTCTTAACTCCCCCCAGGGAACGCATGGGTGTTGCCAGCCAGAGTCAGCACTTCCTGGAGCCGTGGGAAGATACAAACCTGCCTCCTGCCCGCGCCAGTAAAATGCTGTGGCGGGGAGGGGCAAACTGCAATTCAAAACCATTCTAGACCCTTCTAGGGGGCTGGTGTCACAGAGGCTGGGTGCTGTCCTGGACGCAGCCTGCCTCTTGATTGTGACCTCTAGGGCATGAGTCGCACACTGGCAACGTGCTGCGTAGTGCATAGTTCCTCCAAAGAGCTGAAAGGGCTGGGGAAACTGAGTCACGGAGGGACGGTAGCTGGTGCGAGGGTCACCCCGTCTGAGAGCGAGCGCCTGCTGGCCCCTGCAGTAATCACTAGGCGGTACTGCCCAAAGTCTGGCCTTGAACAACTCGCTTCTGTGGATGCTGGGGTTGCATACCCAGGGTTTTGTGTGTGCGTGCCTGCCAGCAGGCAGGGTAACATGGCGACTGCCTGAGCCAGGCCTGCAGCGTGTGGCTCTCTGCAGGCCTGACTGCTCTTCGGCCCCCCTCCCTGTCTCTCCCCTTTCCCCAGTGGATGGAGTGGCACCCGCAGGCCCACGTCCTGCTGGCGGGCGCTGCAGATGGCAACTCCTGGCTGTGGAAGATCCCGAGTGGCGAGTGCAAGACTTTCCCGGGGCCGAGCTGCCCGGCCACCTGCGGCCGGATCCTTCCCGACGGTGAGGGGCAGGGGAGCGGGCTGTGGGAACCAGGCCATGTGCTGCCCGGCTGGTCCTTACGGGACAGCCACGGGCTCTCCGTGGGCCCCCTGCTGGTCCTCGGTGGCCCCGCAGGGCGCCCCCTGCCTGCTGGCCGAGGGACTGACCGAGAGTCACAGCTCTGGGGAGGTTTTGCCTGCCCGTGCAGGGGGCAGCCCGGGAGTGGGAAGGTTGGGGAGGCCACGGTTGCACAAGCGGCTTTTGAGCATCTCTCTGCCCAGGGAAGAGAGCGGTGGTTGGCTACGAGGACGGGACCGTGCGGCTCTGGGATCTGAAGCAGGGAAGTTTGGCTACGAGGACGGGACCGTGCGGCTCTGGGATCTGAAGCAGGGAAGTGCCCTCCACGTCCTCAAAGGTGAAAGGGGTCGGTCGCCAGGCTGAGTGTCGCAGTGGGGGCCCGTTGGCTGGGGTGCTTTTC